GTTTCGGCTGTGGAGTCTTATTCAGGTGTGAGAGAGACAGGGCAGTAAGCAAAGGTAAAGTAGCGGGAGAACAAAGGTTGGGAGGGAGGAGGAGTGAGAGGCGGGAGCAGGGGACAGACAGAGAGGCCAATCAGGAGGTGTGAAGTCAGGAGAGGTGAAGAGAGGTGTGAAATGAAACCTATAATGAATAGAGAGAATTTAGAAGAAAACAAATTGAGAGAAGGGGAAAGGTGTGATCCTAGCTGCAGGATAATTTTAGTTTCTGTAGTTTTTAGTTTCTGTAGTCTTTCTGATGTGGGAGTTAGGAAAACCATGTAAGATGGTATGCTGTAAGATGTTTTAACACCTGCTCAAGCTTTGTTTCCAGCTTCAAAGGTGGTTAAAACACACAATAGCCAGACTAGCCAACAGAAATCCGTTTCCAGAAAGCACTTTCGGCACTGCCATTCCAATCCCTTAAACTTGCGTCAGTAAATGAGATGAGAAAATGATGCCAGTCCCTTTTAACCACAATAAACATTGGCAAAAGAACACTGATGCAAGTATTCAATTAGAACCTTTTCAGTTTGCCCATACTCACTGTTCAAACCTTTTCAGTTTGCTCATATGGACTATTAAGCATTGTACTGCACATTTGTATACTGATATTTGTATTCTTTTACAAAATGTTGAGTATGTAAAATAACTTTCAATAAATCAACTAAGTAGTGTTTCCAATGAAAAGTTGACAAGATACTGTAAGTCTTCCACGTGACGTGCATGGAATTAGAAAACAGCTGCTGATTTTTATGCAAATTCATTTTACTTATAAACAGAATTGCTACATTGAGTGATGAAATTGATGCTAATTGAATGTAATTATATCAGTTGTTTCAAACTCATAATGAAGTATACTTACTATACTGTGGAGTATACATAGTAGTTCAATGATCTCTGAAAATGTGTAGCACAATTTTATCTTTAGCTTTCATTCTCTTTAATTCCTAAACAATTAGGTCTATTCAACAACCAGGTAAAAAGAATCATTCTTTAGATTCGAGAGCTCATTACATTAGCAGTCCAACAATTTTAATTTATTTGGGCAATTTGACAGAATTTGTTTATGGTACTAGTTGGCCAGATTTTGTTTTTTTGGTATATAGAGTCATTAATGCTTTGTGAACTGGGGGTTGTATTGTTTCAGTGTGAAGTTTATTGAAGGCACAGTGACAAACCTACTAGAGGAGGAAGGATCTGTCGCAGGAATTCAGTACAAAGACAAGGAAACAGGAGAGATCAAAGTAAGACACCAAAATCTACTGTTCTTAAAATGTCCAAGGTCAAATCCGTTTGCACCTGCACAGGACAGCCTTCTGTCAAACTCAAATTTCACTTTTCTATCATAGTATTCAAGTATCTTGAACGTTTCTATGATAGTTTTTGTCACCTGCAAAAACCTAGAGGCATGACTTTTTATAGTTTTTATTTTTGATGTAGAAAATTTACCACTGAATTGGATCATGGTCTCCCTGTTATTCTTGTAATTTTGTGTGTGTGAGATTTGATCTTTCATAATGTAAATCCAGCTTGTTAGTTGTGTAGTAATGGAATAT